GTTAAGAATACACATAGACGATCAACTGCCTGCTCGAATGGCCGACGCGATTCGTGGTCCAGTGCTGCTCGGAAAGGCCCTCAGCGGTTTCAAGTTAGTTTTACAATAAGTTTTACCAGGATGCTTTGTCACATAAGGAGCCCTGTCCTCAAATCAACAGCGTACAGCATGCAGAGCAAGTCTTGCAGTTGGTGAAGATTTTAGCGAAATATGAGGATCCTCCTTCTCCACCCCGTTCTCTCTACCTATTTCCAGAACTTTCCTAGCTATCTACCAGTTTTTTTTTCGGGGGAATTCCTCAGTCCCACCCCCTCCCCGCTTCGGAAAAAAATACCGTCCTTGCCGGTTATCAAACACTTTCATCACCTTTTATGACGCTACTAACCTCAAGGGGCATCAAAACTGTGATTGACGTTATCCGAACAGAGCAACCATGCGTGAAAATGGTTGAGCTACCCCAGAGCTGCTTTTACCCATCGAGTGGACAAAACCTCATGTTTATTATGGTGGGTCTAGTTTTGTACGTGACGTTCCCTAAAAGCCTTTCTCCTCCGAGGTCATTAGCGCTCATTTCATCCCTAAGTTCCACTGGAGGTTTATTTTTAGTCACAGTTACGCCGAGCGGTTTGTATGAAACCCCTTGTTCGAACTCACCTGAGTCTTTGGGTTGATATTTTTCACTACTGCTGCCAATTTCTTTTTTTTTCCAGTGAACTGGAGACTCGTCTAGTCGAATCATGGAAGAAAGCTAGTGTTGTCCTGAAAATGAATGGAGTTGATGAAGTGCGTCGGCAGTATTTGACGAAACTTCGGGAATCGACGCCTTGCTACGGGTTAGAGCTTCGTGTTTTCTTATGATATATTTTTCCTGTGTTTTTATTGCTTTGCTGCGACGCAACTAGTTCTAATAATAGCTTCCGGATGTTGTTTATCTGTCACATTTGTTTTCAGAGCTGCGTTCTTCCGGGGATTGATTGAGCGACCTGTAATCAACCCACTCAACATCAAAAAAGTTGTTCAACTTTCTGATCAATGGAGCTCCAGATACAGAAGTGAGCAATTTAATAGAGCATGCGTTCAATTAAACGGCAGATCTTCGCACTGTTTGGCTTGGTGGGGCAACGAATGGTATTCAGCGAAATCTGTACGGGCTACCTTGCGAAAACCTGTGAACTTTTGTAATCAAGGTGGCTCACTTGTATTATTCCACACCTCACGAAAGTTCACTGCTTCACATTCCCCCCCCCCCGCTCCCACCTCCTTAAGAGCGAACAGCGCAAGGATTTTCATTGACTCAGGTTATGTCCGAATACTTCTCGATACCTTACCCCGTGATCCGAGAATCCTCACTCAGTAGTGGGAAGTCTCGCTTATAATCTGCTAGTAGAGGAGCTTGCACAAGTATGAAATAAGAGGCAATGAATTCCGTACTTTTTGAATTTAAATGTTTAATCCTCCCGTTCCATGAATTTTTTTAGAAGAAAAGCAGGTGAGGAAGTTAAGGGCCACAAGAGTAAAGTAAAATCGAGAAGATGAGGTCGAAAGGAGGTATTGGAGGCCGTCCAGAAGGGGTGGTTTTCCTCATCCTCATAAAGTATGGCAGCTACTATCATTATTTGGACTTTTCGCTAAAGGAACGTCTCGCGATCAAAAATGATGGGTCGTGGGGCTCAAATACTAGTGACAAAATAGTAGGCAACTAAACAGTGAGGAAAAAGGAGAAATAAACCGTCGGAAGTGTCCTAGCTTCAGACGGTTATTGTGCTTGCATAGGCTCGCTTTGTCTTTAGACCCAAGCCAAAGCGAGCCTATGCAAGCACAAGGCGAGGAAGGGGCGCGCTTCCTATTGCACGTAATTCACTTCTTTGTATCGTAATGATATCATTTTCCCTTATCAAATCACTCTCTCCAGCTAGTATATCAAATCACTCTCACCAGCTAGTAGCGGAACAGCTGCACCATCAGGAACTTTTTGGAAATGGACTTTGGGTGTTGTGAAGGCGCATCGCTGTCTTTGTCAGGATCGGATGAGGTCGTTATCACATATTTTCGAGCCGCCAAAGTGATACATCCTCTGTGCTGAAGGACAGGAGTACTTTGGTCAAGGCGGGCTTCTGCACACCAAATGAACGGGGAACATGACTTTATGCACGTGGCTGCTTTTGCTACATGATGGAAAGCTGTTGTATTTGATAGCTGACTATGCTGCCAGGTTGTTTGGAAGTCACCCGCTTCAATGGAAATTGGGGTCACATACATCAGAGCGGCTCTTTTTTGCTGAAACGACACGAATATTCAGGGAGTCCACCCAATACCTCCAAAAGCAGGATCAACTGGTAGAAAATAGTGCGGTAATTTTAGTAGTGAGCTCGCTGTTGACTATCGGTGCTCGTTTGCCTCACACAATGATTGAAATTTCATCCACACGGCAGCGGATGTTTTGATGGCAGTGAGGTCCACTCGATTAAGTTGGGGGCAGTGTTCCCGAGTCGATTCATACTGGACGTCTCCCACGCTAGTATATGCATGGAGTGAGTGTCTTCTGAAGGATGCGCCATGCTTGTCGTTCCTTTTCAGGAATGTCTACCCGATGGCTGCCTGCCCACTCGAACTGCTTGCTGGCGTGCCTCCTGTTAGGAATCGATGTGATGATTCAGACTATTCCAGACACAACCATCTCTTCACAATTCTACATCTCGCATACCGCTAAGATGAGTTTTGATTGAAAGTGAGTCGAAAGTTTGTTTTCGGCTTACTAGAGCCACACGTTGTTCATCGAGCCCTATGCTCCTTTTTTGCCTTTTCCGCGCTTTATATTTTTTTATTTTTTTAAGTTGAGCTATTCTGTGGTTTATATGTAAAAAAAAACAGTTTCCCATGCGTGTCATTAAGAATCGAGATTAGTAGTGCAAGAAAGAAGACCATTCGTACGATTTATGAGGATGACTGCAGTTCTGTTTTGGCTTAATAATAGTTAATAACGTAGCTTGATAATCTTGTTCGCTGCTGGTGAAGGGACTTGTCAGGCGGGATGAGTTTGGCGCGGCGAGCCATCGAGTATGACATGTACAGTGTTGTATGACAAATGATACTCGCGAGGATACGCCCGCGAAAAAAAAAAACTATTGGGGGAAAAAACCATTGGCTTTGTTCAAAATCGAACAAATAAAAAATATAGAGAGGGGAAAATGAAAGAGCTGTCAGCTTCTTTTTCGCTCCCATAGACGGAAGCCAAGCAAAACACCTTTATGACTTTAAACGACAGGGAATGCCGGCGATCTGTCTTATCTACAAATTGCAGACCCCTGCAGTTTATTTATCTTTATCCCATTTATAACTGAACTTGGACTTTTAGGTGCTTGTCGGTGTGAATAGCGAATTTGTATCTATCATAGATGTCAATCGCCAGGATCTGGTACTAGTGCAGAGAATACGCGACTGCACGTGGAGAAAACTTATCTAGTATGTTGTAATTCTATTGATATAATGCAGAATTGTTAAAATTCTGGGCGCAGTTTCCTTCAAAGGGAGGGAGCATTTTCGTAATCCATACATAGAGCAAAGGTATGATAGGTCAAGAGGTGACGCCAGTTCTCCACCTGAACCCTCTAAGTTCTTACCCTCTAAAGTCTCATGGAGCGAATAGCAATCCAAAAGAGAGGAAGAAGAACCCAGTTTTGCGGGGAACTGTTCTCTACAACTAGCTCTTTGCAGTTCAAGCTGGCGTTCAGACTTTTCTAGGATGGAAGCCCAGTGCGCGATGCGATCCGCAGGTATTGGTCGGCACCGAAGTTGAACCGATTATTGCAATATTCACTCGTTCTGTGCTGCGTGGCCACTCAAAACGAAACTGGGATGGCTACAAGCTGTTATTGATAACTGCTGTTTAACGCCGCAGTACGCGATCCGAAAGCTATCACAAGAATGCTGAGTTATGGGCAAAAGTCGGACCACGGACGGGATTCGAACCCGCATCTTCTGCTTACCGGGCAGTTGCGTTCCCTATTACGCTACCGAGGCCACTTTTGACCACTCAGCTCAATGGCTATTTGTGCCATAGCCTTACAGCACTCACACGTTCAGCAGTGAACCGCAAGGCTGAAGGCTTTCTACAAGCTTGAAACTTGTAAGCCTTCAGCCTTTGCGGTTCACTGCTGATATCGGCCAAGCGGCTCATCACGTTGAAGTGTGAGTGCTGTAAGACTGTGGCACAAATAGCCATGAGTGGTCAAAAGTGGCCTCGGTAGCGTAATAGGGAACGCAACTGCCCGGTAAGCAGAAGATGCGGGTTCGAATCCGTCCGTGGTCCGACTTTTGCCCATAACTCAGCATTCTTGTGGGATGGCTTCGTTGCGTACCGTAACGCTCATATCGTTGCCCGGGATGCTTGCAGGGAAAATTCTCACCCCCCCCTCCTTCCCTAGAAGAAAGAGCACCTAGTTCCATTTCTTATCAACAAACTTCACATGTGACGATTTTCAGCTCCCCAGAAGAAATCAAGAAGGGTCATCAACATCTCCTGTTTCTTTCATTCCCTGATGACGACTACATCAAGTCACGCAACGATTTTCTCGTAGGAAAAGCGGAAAATTTGACGACCATGAAGATGAATATCCTCCATGTACGTTCACCAAGTACTATCACAAAATTTTTTTCGTACAAAATGTCTAAGGCATGAGCGAGACGGCGCGGTGCAATTGCTAGCTCGATACGCGTATACACTCCTTATCCCTGAGACCAGAGTAGGCGTGGCATTTGAACATGGCACGGAATTGGTTACTCGTGGAATATTCCAGTCTGGGACAACTGTCATCTTGTTCTGTATTGGACAGAGACACGACAACAATTGTGTCAAGATGAAAATATTCCACCAGAAGCATAGACACCTTCAGGTTAAGTTGAAAAATGCACCACGCCTACCCGATCTCTGGGATTTCGAGTAAGTGTGCGCTACGTTGCGCCGCGCCTGCTTGCACACCTTCCATTACATTATCCACAG